GCAGCAGGCCAAACTAGGAGCAACCCATCACTGTCCCTAGTCCTTCTTTTCATTAAACTAGACATACCCAGTTCTATTTTAGTGAAAAGAAGGACTAGGGACAGTGATGGGTTGCTCCTAGTTTGGCCTGCTGCTGCACAACCAGCAGCAATCCAGGCTGGCCACACCCCGGTCTCCGTTGCATTGCTGGCATCTTTTTTATTAGCTTTTACCCTATTTTTTGGCGTATAAGATGCACCACCACCCCCTAAAAGAGGGTGGAAATTTGAGTGCGTCTTATACACTGAATGTAGCCCCACCTACCCACCGGCCCCAACCCTTCGGCCTCTGCCTCCCAGCAATTTACCTCTTTGCAACAAACGGGGGCTTGTGGAGGTTTCAATAAGCTATAGCAATCCCTGCAGCCTGGGAGAAATTGAAAGTGAAACTTGCTGTTTGCTTCACGAGGCAAATTGCTGGGAGACAGATTTTTATTTTCTTGTGCTAATCAGGCTGTTTGCTGCAAGGAGGTAAGTCAACAACTATAAATGCTTATAGAATGTTCATATTATTAGACTTATTTTTTAAAGCCTGCTTTATTATTATTCTAGACAACTTAACAAAATGAAGAAGCTTTTTAAAATAAATGCTTGATCTGAAGAGGCCTAGTGTTATTGTTTTTTAAAGTGCTATTCTTTTAAATAGCAAAGAATAACTATGCTTCCAGAAAGCACATCAATTTTAACAGCATCTGTACAAGCATAGTCTGAAATATAACATTACAAACCGTGTATATTGTCTGTACTGTTTGTTGCAAAGAGGCAAATTGCTGAGAGGCAGATATTTTTCCCTTGTTTTCCTCCCCAAAATCTAGGTGTGTCTTATACTTTGGAGCATCTTATACTCCGAAAAATATTATAATGGTCTTTGCGCATGTGCAAAACTATTTACAGCAAATTGCGCATGCACGAGCGATGTGCGCCCACAAAGCGCACGCAAAGCAAACCGGTACCGGTTTGCATAGGAACCCGCCAGTGGTGGGTTCCGGATCCCGTTGCAACTCCTCTACCTGAAATTTTCAAATAGAACTAAATCTGTTTCTTTTTTTCTTCTAACAAAGCAGAAAATCCTTCCACATAGAAGAGTCGTTCATTTGGAGCAAGTAAAAAAAAATGGAGCATGAAATGAATGCAATAGGAGAAGAACAGACGCAGAAGAGTGATGCTTCGGATGCAGGAATGCCAGGAACAGCAGAAAACCAGGTAAGGGGCCCAATTGTCAAGCAAAGGCATTTTAGGCAAACATTATCAGTCCCTATCACCGTGGGGGAAGCTGTAGCATAGAATCAACCCCCAGGATGCAAAAGTACAAGTTAAAAGCATAGAAAGAGGCAACTCTTCTCTGAATAGTGGTTGGGGATGAGCTTAATGGGAGAGATGGAATGCAGCTGGAAAAGCAGGAAGAGGAGAATGAATTGGCCCTTTAAGAAAAAAACCATAGAGCAGCCTTCCTCGGTGTCCTGCCTTCTAGATGCGGCCGGATTTTAATTCCTGTAATTCTGCTAGTCATCTGGTGACAGCTGCCCTTGAATATCTGTAGCTGTGTTTGCAATGTTAAGATGCAGGACTTTAATTCCCAGAATTCCTCAGCCAGCATGTTCTTGGGGGGAGCCTGGAAAAAGATGCAGCTGCTTTAAAGGGACTCATCAAACTCGATTTCATTGAGGGCCGCATCAGGGTTGTGTTTGACCTCGGGGAGCTGGGGTGGGCATGGCCAGTTCAACATCACTCATGTTGGGGCGTCTGTGGTGGCCCGTGCACTCTGCTAGCGAAAACGGGCTTCCAAGCTCCGTTTTCAACTGCAATGGCCTCCTGCAACCTTCTGCCAGCGAAAACAGAGCTTTGGAGGACCACCTGCAACCGTCCATTTTCTCTGGCAGACCTACCACAGGCTGGGCCTTCACTGTTTCCACGGCGGCGCCACTGGCCAGATCTAAGCACTCCATGGGCTGGATCCAGCCCCCAGGCTTTGCGTTTGACGCCCCTGCATTAAAGCATCTGTGTCTTCTTAGCACCACCAACCCATCCTTCAGCAAGGGCCTACATGCCTTTTTATTTTTACGCTTTTGAAATGTGCATCCTGCCTTTCCAAACTAGGTTTCCCAAGCAATAAGCCATGCTAGAACAGAGATAAAAGTCCTTCGGTAACATTCTCAAGCAATTCGAATATGCAACAATATTTTTACAGGTATTCGATGTACAGACACAACTGAGCTCAGAATTTCCATTCCTAAGCAAGAGAGTGAAGGGACCTTTTGCCCCATTTTACAATTGTTCCTGCCACAGTTCTTAAGTGAATCGCTGCAGCTGTTAAATTAGTGACACGGATGTTAAGTGAATTTGGCTTCCCGGTTGACTTTTCTTATCAAAAGGTGACCAAATGACCCTGGGACACTACCTGTCATAAATACATGCCAGTTACCAAGTGCCTGGATTTTTATAATAGGACCATGGGGATGCTGAAATGGTTTTAAGACCACACAAGTCACTGTTTTCAATGCCGTTGTAACTTAAAACGGTCACTATAAAGCAATGGTTATAAGTCGAGGATTACCTGTAATCCTTCAGTAAGATTCTAAAACAGTTAAAACGTACAACAATATTCTAATTAGAACGCAACCAGTTAAAGCAGCGTTTCTCAACTTTGGAAACTTGAAAGTGGGATATGGCTGGGGAATTCTGGGAGCTGAAGTCCACCCATCTTCAAGTTTCCAAGGGTGAGAAACACTGCTAGACTTGATTCAGATAAGAACCCACTTCTGCCTTTTCTTTCCCTTGTTTAGTTTACTTTATTGCCACTGCGCCTCGTACAATGAAATTAAACGCGATCTTCAGCGTACAATGACAGTTCAGGTTGTGGTTGTTAAGGAATCACGTGCAGTCATTAAGCACAACATCAGGGGGTGGCTGGTTTCCTCTCATTGACTTGAACTTATTGGAAGCTGGCAGTGAAGATCGCAAGTGGTGATGATGTGACTGTGGGAGGCTGTGACCATTGTAACTGTGTGCATTGTTTTCCCAATCCAGAGCGTCCCTTCTGAAGTTGAATTCAGCGCTCTGCCAAGCCAGGGCCCAGTTCTGCGCTCAAAGCCACGAAGTCAGAAACACNCACACACACACACACACACACACACACACACACAGAGGTAAGCAGTATGCTTCCTCCCATATTTGGGCATACCACGTGCTTTGACAAAAGAAAAAAAAAACACTTAATCATTCCCCTGGCTCAGCTGATAATGGAGGAGATCTTGTGGCTTAGAGGTTAATATAACTGTCTAATATGTAAAAATCATTCCAAGTTTGAATCCCAGTAAGGGTAGGGCTAGCTGATGACAGCTAAATAGCTTGAAATAGATCTATACTAGTCCAAATTGTTTTAATTAAAAATAATTTTAACCATATAATTATTGATGATGGTGGCGAAGTTATCATTCAGTCGTAAACGGAGATTCGATGGGCTGAGTGTCTCCACATCTAAGAGACGTGGTGGCACAGTGGTTAGAGTGCAGTACTGCAATCTACTTCTGCTGACTGCTGATTTCCCGCACTTTGGCAGTTCAAGTCCCACTGGCTCAAAGTTGACTCATCCTTCCATCCTTCCGAGGTGGGTAAAATGAGGAGCCAGATTGTTGGGGGACAATATGCTGACTCTATAACCAGCTTAGAGAGGGATGTAAAGCACTGTGAAGTGGTATATAAGTCTATTGCTATTCTTCTGATCTTGAACTTTTTTGATTTTTTTTCTATGCTGGTGTCAGCTTTGATGGTGTCCAGCCATTGTGTTCTTTGATGGCCTAGTTTCCTTTTACTGCTAACTCTCCCATGCACGATTGTTTTCTCCAGTGAATTCTTCCACATGATACGGTCAAAATTAATGAGATGCAGTTTCTTGATTTTGCCTTCCAGTGACATGTCTGGTATTATGTGTCCAAGTACTTGAGGGGTCCTTGGTGTTCCCAGAGCTTGGTTGTTTTCTTACAGATGTTTCACTAGCATTGATGATGTTACCTAGTTAGGGTAATGAAACGTCTGCAAGAAAACAAGCTCAGAGAGCACCAAGGACATTTCATTTCAACCCTGAGCTACGAATATTCCCCTTTATTGGTTCAAGTACTTGCTTTTTGGACACCTTTAGAATAGAATAACAGAGTTGGAAGGGACCTTGGAGGTCTTCTAGTCCAACCCCCTGCCTAGGTAGGAAACCCTACACCACTTCAGACAAATGGTCATCCAGCATCTTTAAAACTTGTGTTGGAGCATTCACAACTTCTGGAGGGAAGCTGTTCCACTGATTAATTGTTCTAACTGTCAGGAAATTTATCCCCAATTCTAAGTTGCTTCTCTCCTTGATTAATTTCCACCCATTGCTTCTTGT